TCTCTCTCTTTCTCTCTCTCTATCTCTCTCTCTCTCTCTCTCTCCCTCTCTCTCTCTCTTCCTCTCTGTATCCGTGTTTGTGTGTGTTTGCAAGTGTGTGAGTGTATGGGTGTGCGTGTGCATGTGCGTGAGGGTGTGCTTATGAGAGGCGCTATAAGGGTGTGGGTGTGTCTGTGTGTATTTGTACGTGTGTATCTGCATGTTTCTGTGTTTCTGTGTGTGTCTGTGTGTGTGAGAGAGCGAGAGAGAGAGAGAGAGAGAGAGAGAGAGAGAGAGTGAGTCTGTGTGTGTTTCTATATTATGTATGTGTGTGTTTCTATATTATGTATGTGTGTGTTTCTGTGAGTTTGCGGTGGTACGTGATTTGCTCAGTCTGGAACATTTTCAGACATGCTATCGCATCAGTCAGACCCACATAAGTAAGAGAACATACGGCTACAGCATACTCAAGTGTAGACAGATTTTTATATCCTGTCAGTGTTTAGATCTATGTCTCTTGCCACAATATATAAAGCGACGCATTAGAGAAAAGAAATGTAAGTGTCTTAGAATAACATTTGTCGCAAGTCCCACAATCTGGGTGACTTTTGAGGTCTCCATTTTAATACTAAGAGCGCGTCAATACAACTTGCTGGGTTTGTATTTTCATCTCCCCCTCTCTCTGCCTGTCTGTCTGTCTGTCTGTCTGTCTGTCTGTCTGTCTGTCTGTCTGTCTGTCTGTCTGTCTCTCTCTTTCTCTCTCATTCTCTTTCTGTCCCCCTCCTATCTCCCAGCCCTCTCGCTTGAGTAGTTTCTGCAGTGAAAAAAACACTATAACTCATTTGAAAGTTTTAAGTAATAATATTATGACTCGGTACACTGGGTATTATTGTGTTTTAATTGTTTTATATCCCCATAGACACAATTTACACATTTAGGAGGCCGGCGCTTCAACCCTGTCCATCATTGCCAACGTGATGTTGCTGGGGTGGGGGGGGATTCAACGCCTCAGCAGACAGACGAAGTAATTCGATTTAAAGTTCCCTGTTCCCACACGGGAATCGAGCTCATGTCATGTAGGATAGGTATGACAACGACGAGTCGAAACGCTACACCACTGGCACTGATGTGTACTTGCTGACCCAACGCAAAGCTGATAGACTCTTAGTATCATTAGCTGGGGAAAATTGGAAGGGAGCGGGAAAGAATTAGGGCCGTGGTACGTATGGTCAGTTTGGTTTTGATTTATGACAAGTTCTGCAAATAGAAAGTGGATACAGGACTTTCTTTAGCTGTATATCTGGCGAAAGTACTCGTTGACCCACAGTTTTGTAGGCCTACTATTGGATTTTTCATTGTGTGTTGGTTTGTTTATTTTCTCATGTTTTGGTTTGGGTTTTTTTTTCCTTTTTTAGTTCTGTTTGTTTCTTGGATTTTTTTGTGGGGTGGGTTGTTTTGTTGCTGTTTTTCTGTGGGGGTTTTTGTTTTTTGTTCAGGGATAGAGATATGGGTTTTTTGTTTGTTTGTTTGTGCTGGGGGGTTTTTGTGTTGTTGTTTTTTTTGCTGTTTTGGGTTTTTGTTTGTATTTCATGGGAGGGTTTTTTGTGGGG